AGAGAGGAGAGAGAAGAGAGAGATGAGAGAGCGAGAGAGAGGGGGAGGGAAGAGAGAGGAGTTGTGAGAGAGGAGAGAGAGGGGATGGGAGAGAGAGAGAGGAGAGACGAAGAGACGAGAGAGGGAGACGGTAGAGAGATGGGAAGAAGAGAGAGAGAGAGAGAGACGAGGAGAGAGGAGAGGAGAGAGAGAGGAGGCACGAGAGATGAGAGAGAGGAGAGAGAGATGAGAGAGAGAGAGAGAGAGAGAGATTTCAGAGAGAGGGAGGGAGAGAGAGGAACGAGAGAGGAGAGAGGGAGGAGAGAAGAGAGAGAGAGAGAGAGCTCTGGAGAGACGAGAGAAGCGGAGAGAGGAGACGAAGGAGAGAGAGAGAGAGAGAGTAGGGAAGAGAGAGAGGAGAGAGGAAGCAGAGAGAGATTGAGGAGAGAGAGAGAGAAGAGGAGACCGATGAGGATTTGAGAGAGAGAGAGGGGATCGAGAGAGAAGCGAGAGAGAGAAGGATGAGAGAGAGCAAGGAGAGAGTGAGAGAGAGGAGGAGAGACGGGGATGAGAGAGAGGAGAATCGAGAGGAGAGGAGAGTCGAGAGAGAGAGAGGATGGGGAGATGAGAGAGAGAGAAGTGAGGAGAGAGGAGAGTGAGAGAGGGAGAGACCGAGACGAGAGGAGACGAGACGAGTGGAGGAGGCGAGGACGAGGAGAGAGAGTCAGAAGATGGAGGAGAGAAGAGATGAGAGAGAGTAGGAGAGAGAGAGGAGAGAGATGGAGAGAAGAGAGAGACGGAGAGAGACGAGGGGTGAGGAGATGAGAGAGAGAGAGATGAGGAGAGGAGAGAGAGGAGGAGAGAGAGAGGGGAGAAGAGAGAAGAGAGAGAGATTAGAGAGAGAGGACGGAGAGATGAGATGGGAGGAGAGAGGAGAGAGAGAGGAGAGAGTAAGAGTGAGAAGACGAAGGGAGAGGAGAGAGAGAGAGAGAGAGAGAGCGTAGAGGAGAGAGAGAGAAGAGGAGAGGAGATTGAGACGAGGAGAGGGCAGAGTCGAGAGAGATGACGAGGAAGGAGGAGAGGAAGTCGAGAGCGAGAGAGAGGATAGAGAGAGAGAGACGAGAGAAGAGAGAGAGAGAGAGAGAAGAGAGAGGAAGGAGAGAGGAGAGAGAGAGGTTTGGAGGAGAGAGGAGGAGTTAGAGAGATGAGAGACGGAGGAGAGAGAGAGAGAGAGGAGAGAAGGGAGGGAGAGAGGGGAGAGAGAACGAGAGAGGAGAGAGTGACGACGAGAGAGAGAGAGGAGAGAGGAGATGAGGAGATGGAGGAGAGAGAGAGGAGAGAGTGGAGAGAGAGATGAGAGGGATGAGAGAGAAGAGAGTTGAGAGAGAGAGAGAGAGAGAGAGAGTGAGAGAGGAGAGAGGGAGAGTGAGAGACGAGAGAGAGCGAGAAGAGCGAGAGAGAGACGGAGAGAGAGAGAGGGAGAGAGAGAGATGAGGGAGAGGAGGAGGAGCCGAGAGAGAGGATGAAGACGAGAGAGATGGGAGAGAGGGAGAGAGAGGAGGAGAGAGATGGATGAGATGAAGAGGGAGCGTGAGAGAGAGGAGAGAGAGAGCTGAGAGAGAGAGAGGAGAGAGAGGGAGGAGAGAGGAGAGGAGAGAGGAGAGGACCGAGAAGGAAGGAGAGAGAGAGAGGAGAGAGAGAAGAGGAGAGATGAGAGAGGAGAGAGAGAGACGAGAGGAGAGCCCGAGAGGAGAGAGAGAGCAGAGGGAGAAGAGTGAGAGACGAGAGAGAGAGAGACGAGTTTGAGGAGAGAGAGAGGAGAGAGAGAGAGGAAGGTGGAAGAGAGAGAGAGATAGAAAGAGGGAGAGGAGAGAGAGGAGAGAGGACGAGAGAGGAGAGAGCGGAGAGAAGAGGGAGAGAGAAGGGGCGAGAGAGAGAGACGGAGAGAGAGAGAGGAGAGAGAGAGAGGAGAGAGAGTGGAGAGGAGAGAAGAGAGAGAGGGAGATGAGTGTTTGAGAAGAGCCGAGAGGGAGAGAGAGCGGACGATGAGATGAGAGTGAGAGAGAGGGAGGTAGGGAGCGAGGTAGAAGGAAGAATTTTTTTTTTTTTAATGAGAGAGAAGAGAGAGAGGAGCGAAGAGAGAGAGCGAGAGAGAGAGGGAGAGAGAGGAGAGAGAGGGGAGCCGAGAGGAGGAGAGATCGATGAGATGGAGGAAGGAGAAGAGAAGAGAGAGGGTAAGAAGATGAGAGACTTGGAGAGAGAGGGAGGAGAGGGAGAGAGTTGAGTGACGAGGCGAGGATAGTGAGGGAGGGAGAGGGAGATACGAGGGGGAGGGAGGGAGAGAGAGAGAGGGGGGTAGGGAGAGGAGGGAGAGAGAGAGAGAGGGAGGGAGGGACGAGGAGAGAGAGGAAAAGAGAGAGTCTCTGAGAGGGAGAGACGAGGGACGGGGAGGAGAGAGGAAAACGAGGATGGAGGAGGAGGAGAGAGAGAGGAGAGAGAGGAGAGAGAGGAAGAGAGAGAG